CTGACGGAAGTCACGTGTCCCGTTCTACCTTGGGTCTCGACAGAAGCTCCGACGGTCATAACAGCTGGAAGTAGGCAGGTAGTATTGCCGGCAAAAGCAAGGGAGACTGGAATGGCCATTTCTGGTAAGGTGAGCGTTCATCAATGAGCTTCACTATCCCCCGACGTAAGCCCGTGAGACAACGAGCTCGTGGTTCAATGGTTAGGTCACGAGTTCGAGGCTCGGTTGGGACAGCAAGTGAGTCTGGGTATGACTGGCTGACGACGACTAATGAGCCAGAAATAATCATTCTAGTGGTCAGGTGAGCGTTCATCAGTGAGTAACAAACGACAACTTTGCTCCAATCACCTCTTGCGAAACTTTAGTTTTATTGTTCCCATAGATGAGTTGAGCCCTAGGACTTGGTTTGACCTCGAAACCCTAACTTGCGCTGTTAAGCGTCTCAGGCGGCATTTGTTGCATACTGGAACGCGTGGTTGACGATTCATGCTCATTCCAAGGCGTTTCCTTCCGTTTTATTCTCGTGTAATAACAAACTACCCAGGTTATTCTTTTCGTGTATTACCTCTCAAGAACAAACGGTAAACCGCGAGTTGGTAATAATGACTAGGTCATTATGTTGACGGCTACGTGCACGGTTTTAGATGCCCTGCAGGGGGCTGTTTCTTCAACGACCCTTATTCCCTTCCGGACAGCTTAATGTCTGCAGCCAGCCCTTACCTATTTTAATTTATTTCTCCGTAAATAGGTGATACTTATATGTTTTGAGCTAGCCAGCTTGCTGCTAGCTGCAGCCCGCCACACCAACGTATAGCACGAGTGTTTTTCTGCTTCATTCAGACTGCCCAGTGGAAAGAAGTACTAATTTAAAATCAGGGTGAAAATTATATTCAAGCAAAGTCATGTGTAGCGCTGAAAACTGTTCACAGTTAACAATAGGACTGGGCAGAGAAGATGAGGTAATTGCCAACCGCGAGAACTGGAGGTCTGTCTCGCAGGAAAACCTAAAAGTAAAACACGCAATTTTACGGATTTCGTTAGCAGGATTAGAAGCAAGCCTACCATTAAATCAGTTTTACCGTTTTTCGAAGGCAAACGTTGGATATTCTTTTCTTTTTGCTGAAAATCTGGGGTCTTAGCAAGCGTAAGATCTGAAGTGTTTCGTTAACAGTAGGTTTCGCTTGAACGACGAGATTTCCTGAAAGATACTTCTACGGGGAACACTTATAATCGGTCTAGTAAGCTATCGCATGACTATGAATTCACAATGACTTTTTCCTTAGCTCTAACCCGTAGATTTAAGCGAAGCTAATTTGGCTTCTTAAAATACACGCTGTCGGCTCGGCTTTGATTAGATGGTGTGCAAGTTACCGCAGGAATATCTAGAATACTTAAGGCCATAAAGATAAGTCTGCATGAATTTTGCAAATATTTTATAACCTCACTAGTCTATATGCTTACAGTACGACTCCGAATTCGTGTAACATGCAGACACTTGCGAAAGATTGATAATCACTCACTAATCGGCATTGAGTAAGGTTGTACCTGTACTATTCGCAAGCCATTTCAGTTACGATAGAATGCTGGCTTTTTAACGAGATTCTTTTGACCGCTAACAAAATTATGTAGTCTAAAAATGGCAACTCAATTATTACGATTTTTTAGCATTGATTTTGACTGCCTTTATAAATTCAAAAATATTTTATCGTAAACATATGCGAAAAATGTTTTGTTGTACTCGTTCGGTAGCAAATGATTTCATCTTTAAATTTCATTCTTAAAGAAGGGGTATCTTACGGTTTTAAAAAAGTTTCTGAATTGCCGAATAATTTTGAAACCTACCGACTACTACACCTGAATTCAAGGTTTACAAACCGCGCAAGGTGTACATCCTGTTTAAGGAGAAGTAAGTGCTTGTCTACGGTTTGAGGAATAATTCATATGGTTCTCATAAAATGCTTCAATAAATGTGGATTATGCTGTATACATTATAGGCAGCACTAATAAATTGACGGATACGATGTGTTATGAATGGACACCTTGACAATCGTAAAAATCACATAATTAGAAATTTTTAAAAAACCGAAGCATACCCTTACTTTAAGTATAAAATTTAAAGTAGGTGTGATTTGCTAGCAAACGAGTACAACAAAAATCTTTTCCTGCATTTTTTCCATAAAATATATTTGAATTTATAAAGGCAGTCAAAATCAACGATAAAATGCGTGCTACTTAAGTAGGCATTTTGGCAGTACATACTTTTTGTTTGGGGGTAGACGAAAGCTCGTTAAACAGCCAGCATCCTATCGTGAATAAAATGACTTGAGAATGGGCTACACATAAATCAATATTGCAACCTTATTAAAGACTAATTAGCGAGTGAGTATCACTCTTTTGCAAATGTCGGCATGTTGCACGAATTTGGAGCTGTACTGTATATTCACCTGACGCATTCAATATAACCCCTTCTAAAATTTTCTACCGGGCATTATTGTTCCCACAACCATACATACGCAAGGCTGGCCCAGATAAAATGGCGCTTCTGGGCGGATTTTTAAGGTTTATAGTTGCTTACGTTGGGGAGAAATGCGTCTGTCGGTGTGGAAGGCGTCATGGGTCATGAAGTAGTGGACAACCGGTGTGCTCTCCTTTTCGCGCCCCCTGCCGACAGAACCGATGGTTTGAATTCGAAGAATGTAGAAGGTCTTTGGCCGTAACCTCGGAAGGATTATCCAGGTTTGATTCTGAAAGTTTAAAAGTCCTATTATATTAGAATATGTCAATACAGTGAAAAGGTCTGGGACTATATACGCAACGGGCGGTACAAACAGCGGTGATGTTAAGGCAGTCTTGACTACCACAACCACCTCTCGTCGATGTACGAGAACATGCTTTTCAATCGGGATATTTAGAAACTACCTTGATGGATTAAGAGGCTTTTCAATTGACAGTTAAGCAGTCTTAGGAGATTGATGAAGGTAACCAAGAGCCTTCGGACTAACTTTGTCGTGATAGTTAGCTGGACATGCCAGAGTTCTATCTAAGTTATACATTTTGAATGAGAATAAGTTCAAGTTCTACAAGTGGAGAGGATATTTTTTCAGGATCAGTAAAGAATAATTCCAATTTATTCGTTCACTACATCATCAGGTTTTAGTGAGATCGATAGTTCGTGCAGAAGGGGGTCTAGACACTAAATTAGACTGCGCCAATTTAAACGTACAGGGCCTTATTCCAACCAGTTGAAAGCAAGTTTGAAACGACTGTAGTTTGTTAAAGTTTATTGTGCGCGTTTTTTTCTCCGAAAGTTCTTTAGAACTTAAGGAAACACTATAGAACATAGTACTTGAAATGCGATACCATAAACCAGACAGTTTGATATCGGACGCAAGCACAAGTACTATAACCCGGATGGGCAACCAGTTGTTGACTCATCTTATCAAGAGTAAATAGGCCTAACATTTTCTGGGTTGCTAACGCTTTGCTAAGTATCTAACTACTTCTTGGGCTTTCTTGTAGTTTGCTGAGCACTCCGTACCTCTAGATTTTCACGCCACTACGGAGTTTCATCTGTGAAAAAGTTGAGAAGAAGTTTCGATCGCTGGGACAACACTTTTATCCGCCTGACGTTTCGACCTCCGTCGCGGATTCTTCATCAGAGACATGAGCAGAAAATAGTAGTAGTAGAAACGGG